CTTTTTGGGGGGGTGGGGGGGTGGGGGGGGCGGAGAAGGAGTTCCTGGTGGGCAGGAAAGTGCTAAAGAAATAAACATATCAAAACAAAAAGCATACGCGGCATGCTGTTTTTCAGACCGGCAGACCCAGTGTGGGGTGTTGTGGGTTGAGTGACGGACCAGGACTCAGAGAAATATAGGTTCCAACCCCTGCTTGGTCATGAAAACTCATGCGGGGGGCGGGGGGCGGGGCGGGGAGAGCGCAGAAACCTCCCACCTGGAAAGTCCTGTTAAGGCCATTTCTGGTTTGATGGCACAGGATGTGACCCCCCCTCCTTCCCCGTGAGTTTTCCTGAATTACAAAGCGCAATGTTTGTTCACTTCAAACACATATTAAGAACATGTTTTTCAAAATAAATGTATACGCAGATAGAGCAGCTGCCGAGTTGATCTGGGCTGCAGCAGAAGAACATGAGACAAAAATAGATATATAAATATCCATCCGTCCTATTTGCGTTGCCTTTCTCCGTATCCTATACCAGGTTGCAAAACAGCTTCCCCCTCCCCTTTCCGCACACATATACGCTCTCTGTGCACACAACCCTTCCCCTCCCTGTCTCTCGCTGAATCCCTCCGCAAGCCGTGGAGCGGTCAGCCTGGCCAAACAGGCGAGGTGCGGAAGGGCTGCTTCCGTACAGAGAAGGCCACACTAGCAGCCTTCCACTACCCCCACCCCCATCATCCCCCAGCCCATGCCTGACCCTCTCTGCCAACATAAAGGGAACTTGTGTGTTGCCTCTTCCCTCCCTTCTCATTTTTCCTCTTGTGCCGTTCTCCTTACAGAGTGAACCTGAGAGCACAGCCCGTTTTCCTCTTCCTGGTTATACGGACGTTGCCCCAGGACCAGATTTTTAGCTGAAGATCAGATTAAAATTGCTTGAAATCTCCCCAAAGCTTCTGTTCTGGAGAAACAGAGCGCCGATCATGCAAACAGTGCTTGTTTGTAACACGATCGTACAAGGGCCTTTGTCTGTGGGTACAAATGCAGCTTGCAGGAACCCCCTCCCAAGACCCAAGACTTATCAGCCAGAATTATTTTTCCTGAAGCAAAATTAACCTTTCTATTTGGCCGGGGGGGGGGGACACACGATTGGACCATGAGAGAGGCCCTACCATTATCTCCCACTTATCCTGATGTGCCAGGGAGGTTTGTAGCATCGGCTGAATTGCGCACAACCGCAGCTGCAGGCAAAGAGACAGGGGCTCCATCAGTAAAGTCAAGCCGCAAGTATCTAAAAATGCACGCAAAGAAAATCCAAGTTTGCGCGTGTCATTGAAAAGCAAGAAGCCTCTAGACATGGCCGCTCCAGAGCGCAAAGGAAAAGGTGGAGGATGTTGATCAATGCAAATATTTTGGGCTGGCCCTGAACAAATAAGTCATGGCCTCACAGGCATGCCGGAAAAATCAGAAGAGAGAGCTAGGCCAGGGCAACAGGTCACAGGGAGGAAGTTGCCAAGTGTGTGGCCAAATGTAAAACGAAATCAAATAAAAATAATTAACCTTGGCTTTGAGGGAGACCCTTTCCCCGTTCTCTGCTTTTTGGTGCTAACGGGAGGCCACGGCCTCCTGGACTTTAACACAGGCAGCTAGGGGAAAAAAAGGCGGAAGGCTTTGAAAAGTGCATTTATTGCAGGATGTGATGAAGAAACATTAAGACTAACAAACAAAGACAGAGGAATCGTAAAACCCATGCAAGGCAGAAAGCGCCAATATTTTGTTCCCAGGAGGAGAAATGAGAAGCGCAGCTTGCTAGCAAACCCCCAAAGACTGGCTTTAAACTCACTTCAAGAGGAGGATGCCTGCCCGCTTTTGCCATGAATTTTTGGGATGTTCATTTATAATATTGTTGCACTACCCATAGGTTTCTGGTGCCTGCCTGATGAAGGGATTTTTAATCCCAAAGATTGCATGAATTATCATATAAGAAGCAGCCCTGCTGGATCAGGCCCAGGGTCCCTCTAGCCCAGCTTCCTGTATCTCCCGTAGAAGTGACACATTCTTCTGCATTTGCATATATCAATTGCTAGCAGGTGGTCATTCCAAGAAAAATACATGGCAGGCGAAGGAGGAGAGGAACCCGGGGGAGACCCCTCTGGCCCCCTCCCAGGTTGGAAGGGTTCGGGTGGCCTCCAGCCTTGCCCAAGGGAAGGAGTCAGTGTCCTTCCGAATCTGCAAGTGAACCTCCAAATCCCCTTCTTAGTTTCACCCCGAGGCTGGCTCGAACCCGGGCCCCCGTTCTGCAAGGCTACTGCCCTCTGGTGGCCACAAGGAAGATAGCAAGCAGCTCTCCCGTGGGATACAGAAGGGAGGGCAAGGCTAATGGAGGGAGGAACATGGGAACTGTAGTACGCAGAAGGCATTCAGCCAGCCTCTTGAGTTGTGGCCTGGCTCAGTTTGAGCTCATGGTCCTGGGGTGGGGTGGCGGGGGTGGCCCTGTTATCCCTTCAGCCCCCCTGTAACCGTATGATCCCCACCGAGGGCTCATGTAGGGTGACCATCAGATAGAAAAGAGGAGCCGGTGCTGGGGGGGGCAGTTCTCATCCCTGAAGGGGTGACGAGACAACCAAAGCTGCCCCTGCACAAAGTTCTCCTCTGGAAAAAGGTCCCCCCAACCCCCCCACCACCCCAGCGGCTTCTCTTTTTCATTGTTTAAGCCAAGGCACAGAAGATAGGAAGAATCGAGTAGCCCTGGGGCATGCACAGAGTGCTAAGCATCCTTAAGCATCCACCCCTAATCCTCTGGGTGTTTGTGTATGTGTGTGGGTGCAATTTCAGGGATGGGTCAACCCCTCCTTGTGGTGCTGCACTGGGACAGAGCGTGTATGTGCGAATGAATGAGCGTCTTCCTGCATCAACCCGCCCACCTCTCGCCTCCCCCCATGTCCAGTGTTGTCCTCTCACATTTTTATTTGTTTATCCACCTATTTATTTGATTTCTATACCGCCCAGCTGACACTCCGGGCAACGGGGGCGATAACATTAAATAATGCAAACATCATCAAAGTGAAGGCTAAAATGAATGGAATGTGACATTTCAAAACAGACCAGGCAAAATGCAAGGAAATGTGGGGCGCCTTTCCTTTCGTTTCGTTTCTTTGGTTTTGCCTAGTCCTAGGCTTGCATAGACAAACGCGGCCACCCCCTTCCAAAACTGCCACTAAAACCCCGGTGGCATTTGCAGAGACCACGACAAAGGACAACAACAACTGTAGGCTGACCCTCTTGACGGCTGTTCGGACAGCGTGTTTTGAAAATCCTGCCCAAATAAAAAGGTTTTTAGGGGGGTGCAGGGGGGGGCTTTCCTGACTCATTCCAAAGCCCAGGAGTAAACTGCCAAGAAGGTTTGATTCTTCATTTCCCCCCCCCCCTTAACTTTTTCCTTAACTCGAACCTCCTCTAGCTTCACTCCATCCCAAGGGAGAGGAGGCCCCAGAGCGGATCCATGGTGGTGCCTGTCCCACCTCCCTGCTTAAGCCTTCCTGGCTCCGGATTCTGGCCGGTGTCCGGTGGATCCTTTGCTACGACTGGGCGGGGGGGGGAACTCAGGTGGCTTCCCTCCAGAGAGATTCCCCGTCTCCTGCTCTTTCTCCTTTGGCCAGTCCCGGAGGTGGGCTCTGTGTACCCCCTCCCCTCGCCCAACTGGACCATCTCCAGGGGGAAGGAAGGTCCAGGGCGGCTCCAGGCTGACCAGGCCGTGGATCGGAGCCTTGGCGCGTGGCTCCGGCTTCCGAGTCGGGCACAAGCTGCCCGGGGCTCCTCGGCCTCCTCGCAGGAGAATCGCCCGAAGCCCCCCCCCAAGAAGTTGTTCCTCTTGAACGGCCGAGTTCCGATTCATGATCTCATCGGGCATCGCCCAGCAACCCCGGGGTCACAGGAGGCAGTTCTGGAACACGGCTCCGCGCGGCCCCTGTGGACGTCTTCCGGGGTCAAAGACAAGATGGGCCGGTGGGCCGAGGGTCTCTGGCTGAGCAGCCTTGGTTGGGGCCTGGGCGTGTCAGAGCGGCCCTCCTGGTACTACGTGGGGCTCGAGGTGCCCTCGGACACGGCCGACCTCTCTGAGGGGCGCCCCGGTTGCTTCCTCTTGGAGGTGCTGCATTACACCTACTGGGTCTTCCTCAGCATCTTGGCCATCATGGTCCTCTTCTCGGCCCGCCTTTTCTTGAGACGCTTTCTCAGCTTCCAGGAGGTGAGGAAGGAAGGCTCCCAGGAACGGGGGTGGATGGGTGGGGGAATGGTGGGGTGGGGGGTGGCAGGGATACCCCCTCCTCTGGCCTGCTGCCCCCCCCGCCCCAGGCAGAGAAAAGGAACCGGTGCCATGGACTCTCCATGGTCAAGGGACTGCTTTCCTCCTTCTCCCTGGGATTAACCTACTGCAGCTGGACCTGGATGCCAATGCGAATCCTGCAGAAGTTGGAAGACTACGGTTGGGGGTGGCAGCTGCCAGAAGTCTCTGGGCAAAATGAGGCCCAGGGCATTCTGGGAGCTGTAGTGCAAAAAGGAAGCAAGGCCACAAGGCTTGCGTGCCAAGTAAATAAATAACGTACCTACACTTTTTTTAAGTTGGTCAATATGATTCCCTCCCCCCCCCCGGTAGTTCAGTAAACCTATCACCCTTCCTTGTTTTGGGCTACTATTTTTAAACAAAGCGGGGGGGGGAATCCCAACCGCTGGAATGTAGGTACTGACACAAGCAGGCACCTCTGGCATTTCCTAGAAAACCTATGAGGCAGGTGGAACTCCCTGACTCATGATTCTCCGTGATTTAACAACATGAGTGGCAGGGAGAGGGCATTTAAACTTTGAGTCGCCCTAGACCTGAGTTCTGAGTTACCCCCACCTCTTCTTTCCCCCCTCCCCAAATCCTTCCTTCAGGCACCAACAAAGCCGAAGGACTCGCCCGGAAAAGACCCCGAAGAAAGGCAGCTCATGGAGGCGCTCCATTTGTTAGAAGCCGTGATGTTCAAAATCCAGTGCCATCTCAAGCAGCGGGAGCAACGGCAGCAGCGCCAGCAGCACCGGCACCGGCTGCGGCACCGGCAGAGAAGGACGGACCCCCTCCAGCTCGCTCCCGGCCCTGGCCTGGAATAAACCGAACGGAAGGACCTGGCGAGGCCACGGCATCACCTCCCCCCCCCACGCTTTCCTCTGCCGGCAGTGCCACGGAGGGGCGCTGGGGTGACCCCCTGAAAGGGGAAGCCAGGACCACCTGCAGCCGGATGAGGCGCCGCAACAACCCACTCGCCCTGGCAGGGCTGGGGGAGTTCCTATGCCACCGGAAAGGGCCCCGTGGGTCATCCGGGCGGCCACTCTGGCCACCCCACCTGAGGCCGGAGAAAGTTAGCCCGAATAAATTACCGGCTGAAAGCCACTTGCCCAGGAGACCCGACCGACCGGGAAGGGAATTCGGGGAGGTGGGGGGGGGCACGTGCCTCCCTCAAATTTACACCTGGGGCAAGGGGACCGTGTTGCTGGAGGAACAGCTGTTCGTCCTCTGCCCGCTGGCTTTCCAAGGTGGGG